TACAACATAAAAAAAATGTACAAAAATTGAAATAAAAATCAAAGAGAAAACTTAATCATATGGGATTAACCTCCTTGTTACAATCCAAGAAAATACATTCAAATATTTACCATGGATTAAAGTCAAAAACCAAATAAAACATTGATTTTTAATGATAAAAATTATAAAAATACACATGCCAATATTTAATAACAAATATAGAACCCTAGGTGCCATATTTCACGAAGCAAAACTAATTACATAAAAATTATAAATCAAAACTAGATCCACATCCAAACACGCAATCCTGCTTTGATACCAACTGTAGGAATTATTGGATCTGCAGAAGAGTTTTAGACCACTGCGATTTGGGATGTAACAATCATCATTGTTTACAATTACCTCTTGTTGTGCAGGTCTATACAGTATCTCCTCGTGTTTGATTCCTCTTCACAAATTGTTATCCTCTGCATGAACACACTCCTTGAATCTGGCTAGTGTTAGATCTTCTAGACTATCTCTCAAGAGGGAATAGAGCTGGTGTATGGGCACTCTCTTACTATCATGGAAATGACCTTACCTCAGCCTTTACAATCACCAACTGAAAATCCCTTAGGCTAATGACTATAAGTGTAAAATATATATGAGTTTCAAAAAATCTTAAACCTAAGCTGAATGAGCTCTAAATTTCTTGAACTCTTCTTACACGTTAGACCCTATTAAAGTTTGGTGAAAAAACAAAACCCAAACAAATAACAACATCTCTTGGATCGAGCTTGCAATCTTGCAATATACTAAACACGACCTGATTTGCTGAAAGTTTATAATATTTTTTTCATTTCTAGCTTTCTGTCAATTATCGACCACGTAGGACTTGTATGACTTAGACAAGTGTCAAGGGTACTCATTTAATAGGATCATTAAGACTATGCGGGACCATATTACCCTGCCAGAGCTGGCAGTGATTTAGGAAAATTTAAGGTGGTTGTCCCCATTTGTCCTTCATATAGCCAATACAAGTCTTGGATCCACGAGACCTTTCCCTCGCACACCACACACCCACATTTAAGTTTTCAATTTTAGTCCTTTTTCATCACGGGACCCTTCTTTTGTCTTTTCATGCACCAAATGATTCACTATGCCCTTCCCCAACCCTGGAGCCCCACTCTCATAAATTACCAAAATGCTCTCCACCATTCAATTGTTACTCAGAGAAATTCTTCAACGAGCCTCACAGTAACTCCTATAAAAGTGCCTACTTTTTTTGGCAGCACAAGTTTATTATTGTCTTGGTTAACTGATGACTTGTAATATTAAGAGTCATCATGGCTCTTGTGGATGCAAACTTGGTTTAGCTAGGTCATGTGCTTTTCCCCCCTATTAATATGACTATCATTTCAATAGGTTTCAAGGAAAATGGATCGAGTCCTATATAAACTAGGACTGTTCATTCTAAATTATGTATGGCACTAGCGTCAAATGTAGCTCCATTATGTTGCAATGAGACTTCTCATAATTTTGTAGGCTTCTACTGCATCTCATCCTAATGCTATATATATATATATATATGAAATGTTGCTCATATAATTATGATACTTTTTGGATTGGGACCGTCCACATGTGCCAATAGACAATGGACTTAAATTAATGCAACAATAAAAGAGATTATGAGAACGGGTATGCCTCCACTTTTTAGCAATATGAGGCCTTTTATTGTTGCATTACGTTGGGCTAGCATCCGAACTCGATCGTAGTGATGAGATCGATTTTCCTTTAAGTATCTACTTCATCTTATTGTTCTGGGGATTCAAATTCGGGTAAGGGGTATTAGAAACTTTATTTGACTTATACTCTTTTTTAATTATTTATAATCTTGATTACTTAAATTATTCGTCATTAGTTTATATTTTTGTTTGGTTAAATTTCTTTTATTATTTATATTAATTTATGTAACGAGCCAACGGTAAAATAAACAGTTATCTTTATAAGATAAATCCTTATTTTTAATTACTATTATATTAAAATTTAAATATTTTGTTTATTTTAAAAATACATTTTTAATAAATAATTTTAAATATATGATACTAATATAAATATTATTATTACGAAATGCGTTACTTTTTATTTTCTCTTTACTATTTTTCATTACTTTTGACACAATATTTTGGAGCACCACACACACATCTAAGGCTCATCTTTTCACCTCGCACCTTTTAAATATGCACTCGAACAATTTGCTTAAAACACACCTATACACGTTGAAAAGAACCTACCATTGATCGTACGGGTATTTTTAAATTCAAGTAAAATATAAAATTCAAATTAAATGAGAAAAATGTATAATACTATAAAAGAGATATACATGATTAATATAAATAGAATTTTTAAAAATAAAAACAAAAAAGATATAATGCATAATTAATTGAAAAAATTTAAATTAAAAAATTTAATTTAAATTATTTTCTCATCGCTGGGACTATAGCTCTTTGATCTAATTAGTTTAGTGAAAATAAACATTATTCCCTTTTTTTTGGTCCAAACAAAAAAAAACATTATTCTAATTGTATTTATATACGTTTAACATTATTATTCGAACCAGATTAATTAGGTTTCACAGTTTAGGATCAATGATCGAAAACCAAAAGAAGACACGTGATTCACTCACTATTTTCTTCTAGAACTGATCATTAATATAACAGTAAAAATTCAAAAATTAGAACTGGAAAGAATTCTTCTTTGTTCTCTTGGTTGGTTGTAGCCAACCTCTAATGGATTCCTTTAGTGGCTGGCGGAGATTCTTGATTACTTTGAAGACTCCATTGATGTAGCATCTAAGTTATGGCTGACATTGACAAGACAAACTTTTAGTCAACTTTTTGTACAAACCCTAAAACAAGGTACTCAACAATAATTTTATGTAAAAAACTTAGGTCCATTAATAAAAGCTCACACCATTGTGTGTCCATTTAAGTGAATCTCCTTGACGAGGTTCCCTTAAACTAAGCTTAACATGAAACCTCAGCTCAAATTAGCTTTGTTCTGCTTTATAGTACATTCTTAACTAATATTGTTGGATAGATAAACGAAAGAAATTTTCTAACAAAGATATTTGTTATAGAATAAAAAAAAAAAAGTACTAAATAAAAAATATTTTTTTAAAATATTTTTTATATTTAAAATGTTTTTATTTATTATTCATTAGTTTTTTATTCTTTAGCCAATAATTTTAAAGTATTCGTTATCAAAATTCTAGAAGAAAATATTGGATGGACGGGACCCATAAGAGAGAAATCCTTGCACACATTTTCTAAACACAAAACTGTGTATATATTAAGGGGTTTGCATTTGTCATTTAACATGACACAACAAATTTTTTTACACATACAATATTTTGTAGAGCCCACACTTTTTGAAGAAAAAAGAAAAAAGAAATTACGATACGCAAAACGAATCTCTATAACATTACATAGTCACTTTTCTTACAACATAACTTTTATAAAATTCATATATTAAAAACAACGAGTATTATTTACAAAAAAAAAAAAAAACAACGAGTATTAAAATGATATGGTAACATTTATTGCTTGATGTAATATAACAACTTTATGCATAATAGTACGGTCCACACAATAGTATGAATAATTAAAAATCGGCCCTAGCTACGCAATAAATTTTTGGGTGACGCGTCATTTAAAAATTATGGCTAACTTGGTAGCTCAATTTTCGATAGGTTTAAAATTCTACCCCCAGTAACATGAAAAGACAATGGTACCACTTGATTTTCATTTCAATCTTTCAATGTATTGCAGAGAATACACCACAGAGCCATACGAACCCAGAGAGTAAATGCTATAAGAGCATGTTCAAATGCTAGAAAGGATTTTTCGAAATAGAGTTGGATAATTATGATGGTACTTGATTCGGGATTAATTCAATATTTATGTGGCCCCTTTCTTCATCCAAATTACGGAAAATATATTTAGTGCTATTGTCGCATTGAAAAGTCGGTATATCTTCTTGCTATGCATTATGGGGTGGTACACTGTTTAGACAAGTTTTCTAAAAAAAGTACATGTATCATGTCATCGCAAGAGGAGAAAGAAAAAAATACATGTACCCTCGACGATACATTTATTGTAAATGTTGGTACATGGCAATACTAAAAAAAAAAACTCCAACTCAATAGTTGTTGATTTAGTGACGAATTAGTTAGACAGTAGAATTTAACCTACCCCAAAAGATAATAAATTTAAAGAAAATATTACTCTACTTTCACGTAAGATAATTTCTTTTATGTTTTCTCACTTCGATTTTCGTACCTCATTTTTTTTTTCTTGTAATAGTGGGATCAACTTATTTTGTCTCTACAATATAAGATAACTATCTTATGTAAAAGAAAATTAATAAAGCCCTAAATTTAAAATGGAGAGTTGCAATTCCTAAAAAAAGTAGAGAGACGTGAATCCGAAATTAGATTATTAGAGTCCATTAGAATTTGATACATGGGTTAATATCTAAAAAATTAAACTCCAAATTATGGGATACTCATAAACCAAACTTCTTTCAAAGGAACGAGCAAAAAATTACTATTATGCTACATGTGATAATTTTTTCTCCTCACACATTTTTGATAACTGTGACATCTTTTTTTTTTTGTTCAGGTGGTGGAGCTCACAAATTTATCTTTATGACATGAGATAACTTATCTACTTTAACATAAGATTAATAAAACTCTAAGAAAGAGTAATGAAAAAAAAAATACACTATAGAGCATTGAATTGTGGGTGTTGTTGAGGGTATTCTCGTCTTAGAGATGGTCCACATACTCTGTCAAATTAGTTTCTTATTCCATTTATGTCGCTGGACTTTCATCTCTGCCCATCTCTTCATTTACGAGTTCAATTTATCCTTCCTTTTTTCTTTCTTTTTCTATCTTTCCATAGCTTTCTCATCATCCTCTTTGTGCTATATAAAGAACAGAAAAAAGCTACTACGGTATTTAGTATTGTTCCACCTTCCAAATGGGACGATCACCTTGCTGTGAGAAGGTGGGTTTAAAGAAAGGACCATGGACTCCTGAGGAAGATCAGAAGCTCTTGGCTTATATTGAAGAACATGGTCATGGAAGCTGGCGTGCTTTGCCAGCAAAAGCTGGTAATTTTTTATCTTGATATATATCTTGCAAATTACAGTACTGAAAATGTACACCATGTAGTTTCAGTATTGTAAACTAGTTGCTCTTGACAATTGTATATAGGACTTCAGAGGTGTGGTAAGAGCTGCAGATTGAGATGGACTAATTATCTAAGGCCTGATATTAAGAGAGGAAAGTTCAGTTTGCAAGAAGAACAAACCATCATTCAACTCCATGCACTCTTAGGGAACAGGTTTGATATCTTTATAAAGTCTATCTATCTATGTTGAGTAGTAGTGTATATAGTAATTATTCAGCACTGCATTAGTTTCATTGTTTTTCCTATCATTCTGTTCTGGGTATAGGTACCAGATTTAATCAAAACCTATCAAGATTTTTAACTTTTTTTTAATTTTATTTTGAGAGTGAGAAGTGAGAACAGTGATAAAAGAGTTATGCTGCTGTTTGGCACCTCAATATTTTATTAATGTTATCAGTCATTTTACAACTGGGAGCTATAACTTCTTTTGCTTTTCCAACTCTCTTTGCTGTGCAGAATGCCTTAAATGCAATGTCATCTCAATTTCTTGAACCACATTTCCAACACTCAATTTTAATTATGTATTCTGCCATGTTCATAAATTTACTTCCTGACACCCAAGTTTATTCAAGATGGTCCTTAAATGCAAAAGGATCTTCTCCCAAACGAAGCTAAAACAATGGTCCATGAATGTGATTTCCAACTTGGACATGACGTACACTTTTTTTTCTCTCTAAAACTTGCATTTTAGCTAATATTAATATTAATTAAACATAATAAAAAAATGAAATTTTGTGGCATGTGTGTATTATGTTTGTGTTGCCTTGTACTCACAGGTGGTCAGCAATAGCCACACATTTGCCAAAGAGAACAGATAATGAGATCAAGAACTATTGGAATACACATCTTAAGAAAAGGTTAACCAAAATGGGAATTGACCCTGTGACACACAAGCCCAAAAATGATGCCCTTCTCTCTAGTGTAGGCCATTCCAAAAGTGCTGCAAACCTTAGCCACATGGCTCAGTGGGAGAGTGCTAGGCTCGAAGCAGAAGCAAGATTGGTTAGGGAATCAAAACTACGTTCACATTCATTGCAGAATCAGCTTGGAAGTTCTGTCTTTCCACCATCATCTTCATCTCCAGCACTTAACAAACAAGATGCAATGAAGGCTTGGAACAATGGTGGATGGTTAAAATCTAATGAGGGAAATGGTGACCTTGAGTCTCCTACGTCTACACTATCAACATTCTCTGAGAACAATGCGCCACCAATTATGAGTACTAGTAGTGGAAATATTGGAGAAAACACAGAGCTTATGATTGAGTTTGTGGGCACATCAGGTTCTTCAGAGAGAGGGATTGTGAAAGAAGAAGGTGAACAAGAGTGGAAAGGTTATGAAAGCTCGACCCATTTGCCAGAATACAAAGATGGTATGGAAAATTCACTGCCTTTTGAATCTACCTTGCATGAGTTGACAATGAGCATGGAAAGCACGTGGGGTTCTGAGTCTCTTATTAGGACCAGTACTAGTGCACATGTCCCTGTTGGAGATCCAATTGCTGAGGAGGGGTTCACTAATCTTTTGCTGAATACTAACTCCGATGACCGGAGTTTTTCACCGGAGGAGGAGGGTGGTGGAGAGTCTAATACTTGTGATGGTAGTGGTAGTGGTACCAGTGGCAGTGACTTTTGTGAAGATAACAAGAACTACTGGAACAGCATTCTTAATTTAGTGAATTCTTCACCTTCTGATTCACCCATGTTCTGAAAGAGAACTCTCCGTGTTGGAAAAATGTTGATTTTTTCGTAGTGGTTTTTTTTTTTTTTGTTCATGTTTTGACATAGACTTTCCTGTGAATTAAGCATAAGTACATTGTCAGAAAGCAATCATATCAATGTGTTTTGGATTTGACTTGATTTCTATGTTTCCGGGGTAGAGGATATATGTTTAATTATCTAGATAAGAACTGATAATAGATAGATTGCGTGAGTTGATTGACTTCTACCCTTTGGTAATTTCCTATGTTCAAACTGTATACAAACATATCCAATAATAGATGTATTTAGTATGGACTTTATTGCTGTTGGTTTCATGTCGCATTCTGGCTTTTTCACATTTTAAATTATTCATTGTTTATATTTGGGTTCTCTTTTTCCTCTCTCTATTCATTGGTTATTCATTGGCTTGGTTGTCATATACTATATCAAGATGGAAACCAACCACACACACACTTTAATTTTTTTGACTTAAGTTGGATTTGACTTCTCACAATAAAACAAGGGGAATACAAGTCTCGTAGGAGACGGTGGCAGAGCCACGTTGTGTGTGCATGTGTGAGCGCCTTCGTACCAGTTTATTTTTAACGTGCTGAAATAATTGTGGTTAAATTTTCGGATAAAATTTAATGTTACGTCTTATCTAAAATTTTGTTGACGCTAGTTCAATGAATTGACAGACTCCACCGCTGGTAGAAGATTTGTTATCTCATATCATAGACTCAAAGTATGTAGGGCTTATTCTTTTAAATTAAACAAATAAATATATATTGACATAACATTTTATGTATGAATAGGAGATGTATGTTATCTCATATAACATATGAAAAAAATATAAACAATACACCCATTTGTGAATATCAAAATCAAACGTCTCTTTTACCCCATAAGTAGATTAGCTTTTTTCTTTTTTCGGTAAAAAGAGTAGCGACTTTTTGATTAGTGGTTCCCATCTTTCCAGAAATCACATGGACCACAACTGAAGTTATACGAACATGCTTTATGTTTGAAATTGTAATTGCTATACATGAATGCGATATCCTTCGATCTATCTTTCATGATATAGGCATGTCGTGTGGAAAGAATGACCTTAATACGTGTATTTTATGCATCATCTATATATATACTAGTTTAACATGTATATGGGATATTTGTATCCAAAAAAAAAACATGTATATGGGTTACGATTGTAGAAGAATTAGGTCATTGTTACACACAAGACACAAAAGATTTATGTCACAATAATTGCTCAACTCTCTTAATTAAACTTAAATAAAAATATATCATAACATGTTTTTTTTTTTTTACATTGAAGCTACAAGCACTTGAGTAAGGTATAAGTATAGGCTATGATGCACCGACACTGACACGGGACACGTGACACGACACGACACGTCGTCACGTAAATTTTAAAAAATGTCATATTCCGACACGTTGGGACACATTTTGATATTAAATAATATTTTTAATATATATAATATAATTTATATTTAATACATATAACAGCCTATAATAAGTCATATAACCAATCAAATTTTCAAATTTTATAACAGATATAAACAAAAATAATTTTTCATACCTTGTTAATTTTTCATGTCAAATTTCATAACAGAATTTAGAAATTATTTTTTCATGTTTAGTTAATAAAATAAAATTTAGCTGTAAAAAAAACGTGTCGGATGCGAGTCGGAGCGTTGCCGCGTGTCGAAAAAAGTTGACTGTGTGTCGAAAAAACGTATCAAAATGTTGATGACGTGTCACATAATGTTGACCGCGTGTCGAACGCATGTCGGTGTCCGACACGTCAATTTTCAAAAATTTAACGTTGCATAGCAGGGTATAGGGAAGAAAATATACTATTAGAGGAATAAATGTCTAAAATTAACATCACTGTCAAAGCTTAAAAGTTTCAACCATTGCTAATTGCGGTATAAACTCATAAATATTTGTTACTTTAAAACTAAAACTTTTTAGACTTTAAAAGATATACTCTTTATTAATTTAGTTTCTCAAGGATTTATTTTATTAATTTAATTCCGATAATATAACACCCCCCTCCATATTTATTTTTTGTTTTTTTTCCTTAAAAAATAAGAATATATACACTTATATATGTATTGAGAAGCGAAATAAATGCTACTCCATGCCAAGACTCGCATTCTTGAATTGTCACTATCTTTCCAAGACATTTTCAAAAGCATATATGTTCTTGACCTATCTCACACGGAATAAAACTAAAATCTTTTTCTTTTTCTCTACCTTTTCAATTCTCTACTTCAAAAGGGCTAGTAAACCAACAAAATTTCGAGGATAATCAGTCATCACCTTTTTTTTTTGTGGGCAAACCAGTCATCACTTTAATTAACACTGCTCAATTTTAGGAAATCATATGAATATATATCATTGAGGATAGGTCTAGTTGGAAAAACTGCATTAGTGGATTCTACTGAAAATAGCAGAGGTAGACTTATCATAGTGGATCCCATTGTAAAATACTTTTTCACCATCCGAACTGCTTCGAGATGATACAATAAAGGCAAGTATTCTTTCTTTTCCATTGGATGAAAGTATTGTACGTGATGACGTACGCTCTTTCTTTTTTCCCTTCTTTTTATTTGTATTTTATATATTTCTTTCTCATCCATGATGCTAAACAAAGTCTAAATTATGCTTAATAAGATTTATTTATGATGTTATTTGTACTCCATTTCTAATGCACAATTCTAACACAATTTTTTTAAGTAATAAATTACTAGAAAAATCCTGTATAGCGAGGGAATTGCTATGCAAATTCCGTCGCTAATTTCATCATCGCTACTACTTTCCCTCGCAATTTCCCTCACAGAATCATTTGCGAGGAAATTTGCGAGGGAAAGTAGTAGCGAGGGTGAAATTAGCGACGGAATTTTCATAGCAATTCCCTCGCTATACAGGATTTTTCTAGTAGTAAACAAATGAAATGCATTTCTTATCTACACACACCCCTCTCTCTTCTTCTTCTTCTTCTAAACAAGTAGCAGTAGGGTAACGACCTGTGTCATAAAAGAATTGGAATACTCGTATCATCTCTTCATATATATGTGATGAAGCCATGAAGGTCACAATTTGGTTATAAAAAAACCACATTGTTGTACTGTTAGACGAATTACGGTATCTGCGTTAAGACTGCAACTGTTTTATAGTTTTTAAAACCAAAATTAGAGAACATCTTAAAAATATTCTCAAATTTTGTTTTTTAATTTTATTATTTTTTTGGTAGCAATTTTATAATTATGAATATTCATTAATGATATTTTTATAAATAATCTCAACTTCTTAATTTTAAATTACTTTACGGTGATAATTTTGTAATTATGAAGATTAATTAATTGCGGTATAGCACTGTTTCAATTAAATTCAACTTCTTTTAAATTCTATATCTAATTATATCCAAACTAATTTTGTTGTTCTGTTGTTTTCAAAATTTGCATTACAAAACAGTTTTGAAGAAGGCAAAAAACAAAATCATATTAAACAGGCCCTAAATGGTCAAGGTCCTACATGAAAGCATGATCCATCAACTACATTTTTTCCTCACTCATTAATCATAATTTATTGAATTAGGTTATGGTGCAATTGCATAACCGAGTTCAATTATGGGCTTGTTGACTAATTTATATAATTAATTTATCCAAAACAGTTCTAAACCAAATTTTAAAATTACCAATCTGATCCATAGAAATTCCCTTTGGCTGTGGGTGACTTGACTGCTATGCTGGTTGTGACGTGAAATGGGCTTCTTCAGGGGACTTAGGGAGGCCCAACTCTATGATTTCTAAACAGAGGTGAACTTGGGCTTATGTTTGCTGAGCTAAACACGGGCCTTCTTAAAACGTGACATTGGATTCCTTCCATAAACCATTCAATAGGTGAATAAATCTTTAGTACAACTATGTAAGATTTAGTACATTTATCATTCATTTTGTGATTTATGATATCATCTAATCAGTTGTCATTTAATTTTCTCTTTTTTCAAATAATATGATATTTTTTTACTACGTGTTACAAAATGAATGACAACATATTTGCATAGGTAGCGAAATTTTATGTATATTCTGAGTAATTGTATCCAATTTTAGAACTTGTTGAAACCCAATGTACTCACAAGTCACAACCCTTTAAGTTACTTGATGACACTTGAAATCGTCTTTTATTTTACTGGGTAAGGCATCAATCCATGGTTCTTATAATTTTATTCCCTTTGTTGTTGGTCCCATTAAGAATCAATTGATTGTAAATTCCAAAGCTTATCATGTATAAATTTCTAAATGAACAGTTAAAGACTGAACAGAACATATAGACTTGGGTCATGTAAATTGCACACAATGTTAGTCAAAGAAACTAACATTGTTGAATTGATTTTTCTTGTCAAATAAAACCTTCATTTGGACTTCAAGGATGAAGAACGGTAGAGTCAAAACAATTGAAGTTTGAGCAAGCAACCATTTGCAAACCCAATATTGATATCTGCACACTTAGATTAGGCAATCCAATGATACAATTGTCATGGAGCCTCGTAGGAGTGCGATACAGATAGAAGAAATATATTAAAGCAAATACACCAGTGTTGGATTAAATTATTAGGAGTTTCATCTTAAGAACTATATATACAGATCACAGATGACATAAGCAGATAAGTAAGGGAACATCAGGCATCTAAACATGTGATGTTCAAACTGCCAAAACATATCTCAAATTCCCTACATTTATTTCTGCACCTTTACATTGGGCTTCCAATGATGAAATGGCAATGGAGCCTCGTAGGAGTGCAATATTGACATACATACATGCTATGTCATCCATCATGTCGATTTTGCATTGGCATTCAACTGAAAAACCCTTTGAAATAAGGGAGGTAGGTGTATACTGTATAGCAGTTTGTTTAGTTACATAGTTACACCACATAACCTTGTTTAGTTACATTAAGAACAGTTTGTATCATAATTGAAACCA